CATCTTTAGCACTCGCGATAGCGTCAAATCCATCGTTCTTACAATGGCGGCAGGTAAAACTATCATTAATCTGGCCGTACTCCCCCGCTGCCTCTCCTCGCCGGCCGGCATTCTCGCATTTGTCCTCCATCCACGTTCCGCGGGGCGGACCGGCGGACATTAATTATCGGAAAAAGGTCGCGCAAGAACGTGAGGTCCACGGCCATATCGCGGCGCGGTACGCACCCGGAAACTAAGATCCCGATGCGCAAAAAGGCGCGAAAGCGATTTTTCCAACGGCGCACGCAAGAAATCGTTCTACTTCTTTCGTACCCCGTGCAGGAACCGATCCAATACCTTGATGCATCCGATATTAACCCTTTGCACTCGGACGTTTTTCGTTAGAAATATTTTAACGTCCTCCGATGAGATGGAGAGGATATTTTGTGAAGCTAACTCGACGAGAAATCACACATCGAGGGACAAAGATACTTTGAATATTTCTCAAATTGACGCATTCTACGAAGTTTGATATTAAGTATCAAATTTTATAGTTTTACTGTATGAAATCAATTGGCGAGTGAGAGCCTCACCCTGGTCGCACTCCCTTGCCAAAATAGAAAATTTCATTTACACGATACTTATCTTATCTTCCATCGCTAGAACGATATTGTCGAACGTCATTAATCTTATCGTAATCGTTCCTAAATAATCCGGTAACTCAAGTGACGCGCCGCTTGGTATTTTATCATAACAATTATTATGTAATTATAATTATACTGTAATACTAACATGTAATAAATAATTATTATATGACACTGACATTAATATCATCACGAGTCTGCGATAGGTTTCCAAGATAAGGGTTACACTCTTTCCTTAACGCTACATTGGCTATATTAAAAACTCGCGATAGGTTAATAAAATTGAATCCATCTAGTCAATCCAAGCTCGTTGGAAAGAACTCTTTAACACACCTAATGTTCGACGCTGTTTTCCTTATACCAACATGATTTCAGAAGTGCACTGCAACTAGCATTCTTTTCTCGCCAGTCTAAAGTGCGAGAGAAAGATGTCTCGGGGTTGATAACGGAGAACCTCGACTCGAGAATCTCCGACTCGATATCTATTCTCGATCTCGTCGCTCCACAGTGAAATCAAACAGTTTTCTGGATAGAACACAATAACTTACGAAGTATTAGTGATAAATTTCTTCAATGACAACGCATACTTCGCATTTATATAACTATATAATATACATTAAACTGTATTATATAGTTATATAATTTATATAATTATATAACGTTATATAAATAGAGAAGCAGAATTGATTCGCACAAAATTTCGATTTTCCAAATGAACATCATTTCGTACAGCAGGAACTACTTAGCAGGGCATTCGTAACGTTCAATTTTCGTTACGCGAGCAGTGGAACCCGAGGATTCGACAGCGTTACGGCGGGACTAACGACGATTCCCGTATTCCGCGGGCGTGCGAGGCTGCCTCGCTCCGGCGGGGATCGATTTTCATCGGGACCCGCGGAAAACTTACGAGTAAGCTCTTTCGCGGCCGGGGAGAACAAAGACACGGGAACTCTCGACGATCCCGCCGCGTCTGCGGCCGGGGAACGCGTTACGCCATTACCGATGATAAATCGTTTCCGAGGGCACCGAACGGCAACCGTGTGTCGTTCGTCCGATCTCGTCGCGAATTTTCCGTGGAAATCGCGACACACCTTGTAAATATTTATCGCGCGAGACAGTGATTCGGCCCGAATGAAAAATGGGACGGAAAGTTCGTTAATCCCGCCGGGGGTTCGAGCCAGGAGCGAAGTATTTAGTTCGGCGGCGAGTGAAGTTGTTAGGGAATTCATGTGACACGGCACTTCTGCTAAATAGCAAGCCTAAACAGACGATCTTCCACTTGATTGTTACACTCTCTGTTCAGCGGGAGCGAGGAGCACTTGAACTTCCCTCGAAGTTCACCCTCGCTCCGCACATTGAATCCCCGGAGCGCGTAGACGTCGCGCAAGAAGGAAATTACTTTGTGCTGCGCGAAATTGTGTTAAAAATTAATACGCTAGCGGTGATCAGTTTTACGATATTCCTTGGACAAACGTCGCTGCTCTAGAAACTCTACTTTAGATTTAGAAAGCTCAACTTTATTCTAGACACTTCTAAAATTGTAGATATCATCGCGAGCTTAGAATTTTATAAGAATTCGGACAAACATTGCCTGATTAACCCTTTGCACTCGACAATATTTTTTATTAGAAATACTCATTACTTTCTGACTAAATATTAACGATATTTCTCGCAACTAACGCGATTGCTTTTCTTATACAAATTAAGGGACGGAACTATTTTATTTCGATGTTTTATGCGTTAATACGTTACACGCGGTTTAATATTGAATTTAAAATGTTATAAGTTTGCGTTATAACTCTTTCGTCTCTCCCTTTGTCTCTGTTTCCCATAAAAAAATGTATCTCACTCATTCACCTTTGTTTCGTAGTTATTTAGTTACTATATTATAGATAATGAACCAGTGGATCTTGACTGATCGAGAACTAGGAATAAATATATGTATTTACTATCGACGATTTGGAAGAAATTACCCATTCTACTTCAAGTGGAAGTTTTATTTGAAGATAACACAATGATAACAGCAAAGTAGTTGTTTGCTTTGCTCCGTGGGTAACCAATAACACCGATAGTCGTTAAATTAGTCTAGAAATCTTCATCGCGAGTCTCACTCGTCATTGTACGAGGTTGACCCACGCTAAAAATTCTAGATACTACAATTGTTGAGTTACTCGTTGTACGGTAGAGTTCGAAGCACTGCCCCGAAGTCGTCTTTAACGTGATCGCGCGTTACTGTCCCCGGCTTAACAGCCCGTTCACGTTTTACACGGAGACATATGTCTCGCTGGAATTCCGCGGCCCGTAAACAGCTTCTCAAAGCGGCGCCGATAAAAATCCGCAGCCCCGCGAACGATTCCGAGAGTTAGGGGCGAATTGAACGATGGCTGCGCGAATCGTATATCCGTCACCGGGTCGCATAAAAGAGACGTCGTAACGGCCCTTATGCCCCCCGACGCGGCGTAACGCGCGCATCGAGTGGCCGGGGCCGCGTTAACCGGCCCGGAATGGTTCCCGGATCAAAACGGAATTCCGCGTAACTGAAAACTGTAATACACGGGCCGGTGCGACGCGGCTAAAGACGCCGGCCGACGTGTTGCTACCAGTACGAGTAACGACCAGTATATTTCCGAACCGGTCGGGTCGCGGGGAACATCGCACACGTATACAGTGTGCGCCATTCGAATCGATATTCGAATCAGTCGGATATCTTCGGAACTGCTGGCGATATCGAGGAATCCAGCGAACGGCAACGTGATCGTTCGATTTCAATCACAACGAATCCCATTAATTTATTATATCAACTCGTAACGCTGGAACTACCGTGCATTTATCGGGGTTGGTGTGTATTGTTTATTAAAGATCGTAACATCTTTCGACTTCTTCGGATATTCCTTGTGATATTTAAGTGGAACTATTTGTTTCAGAAATCACGTCGGATATTGAGTACTTTGAAATATATATTCGATTAGTTTCATTACTGAAAATTGTAATATTTACTATTCGCGTTGAGTATTGTGCTAGGTCAGTTACAATTTTTTTCTTGTTATCTATGTTACGGTATTCTTTCGTGGTAACTATTTGTTTCAGAAATCATGTCGGATATTGAGTACTTTGAAATATATATTTGATTAGTTTCATTACTGCTACTGTTGTAATATTTACAATTAACGCGTTGATTGTGCTAGGTCAGTTGTACAATTTCTTTCTTGTCATCTATGTTACTGTACGAGTTTACTACAGTAATTCTTCTAAATTTGAAGTTCACTTACTGACACTAGGAAATATACTGTACCAGTTCTCAGTAGTTCAATATTCAAAACTGAACTAAAGAAACAGCAGGTGTTCACATGGCTAGATAAGTCGGAATGTATTGTATCATTTCAAGGGGCGTATTATCTGATACGCTTTTTCTTCGCGGATCCGTAAAGGTCTAACGCGGAGTTCCATCTGAAGATTTATAAAGATTAACTTTGTGTCGTTTTGTAACGAGATTCTTAAAAGACCACTAGTTTACCAGTGATCGTCGCTATTTAACCAGTTAACTGTGGAACTTAGTTCTAAAAACCTCTCGTTCTCGCAATAAAATCGAAAAATGGAGCGTGTACTCGTCGAACGCATGACGAATGCGTAGAATATATTTTAACAAAAGATCAAAGCGAAACAAAGAATTACATGTTTATATGAAAAAATAAAGAATCCATTTCTGAAAGAGTTAGTATCATGTCAAGCTTCACGATGACATGTATATTCGTCAAGCACAGTTAACTGGTTAAGTGGAACACCCTGTAGACACATGAACAGACACAGAGCCGATGGAAAGCGATGTGTATCGGGGGTGGCGCGATAACGTCGGCTTTTATTATTGGCGCGATAAAATCCTGGTAGCTGAGTAATAATTTAAGAGTCGAGGCTGCAGCACCTTTGGCGCCCTCGTGAGTGTGCCTCGGCTAGACGTGCTGCCAATAAGCGACCACGTGACTTCTTTTTCAGCTGCAGTGATTTTTTCTGCTGCCTGCATATAGTGCTAGGTGTATTTACAATTGAATACCTTAGGAATCGGTTGCTACATTTATTTATGCGTTGCTTGGGGTTAACCCTTTGCACTCGAGAGGTGACTCAGCCACCACTTAATTCGATACAAAATTGTAAAATTTGATATCTAACATTAATCTTTCTATAATGCATCAATATGTGGAATATTGAAACGAAACGGCTTTACTCTTATATCGTTCCTATCTCATTAGAAAAAGTGGAATATTTCCAGCAAAAAACTCTCGAGTGCAAAGGGTTAAAGGTTATTTAATGAAACGGAGGAAAAGGGATGATCATCTTTGTTCGTGTGTACGAAGTATTGAAAGAAGAATGTTTCACGCGTTATCAGTGTATAAATACAAAGGTATTTTTATTAAAATAAACAAATAGGGTTACATGTTATTGCAATAAATAAAAAATTGTTTACAATGCGTTATTGAAGTTCGCCGCAGTATTCCCCGTACACTTTGTAACATTTCCGTTCCTCTAGGAACGAAACGAACTTATTATTATGACGCATGACGATGATTATGAGTTTCGTGTGGAGTTCAAGTTCTGTACAAACATTTATCGCTTATCGCAACAATCTAGCGATCGACGATTTAAGGCTTGCTCGTAACATCGATTCAGAATGATTTCGTATCTGCTCGTAGATTAACCATACATAACCACGATGTCCGTGTGACGACACCAAACGCGACGAACGTGCGAATTGACGATCAAGAAACTTTCCTAATTACACTTCAAGCTTATTCCGATTTAGTCGACGGCATTCTGAACTTGTATTCTATTGAACGCCGGTATGATTACCTTCACGAGGACGACGATAAATATGATCAGTATAATGAGCGAGATAATCGACGAACAGAACGCTCCTGGAAGGAAATTATCGCTCGTTAGAGTTATTGTTTACTTGCAATCAAGATCAACGTAACACCTTGACGAAGTTTCTTTGAAAAATGTCCAATTATCAGTCGGACAGGCTTAAACCTTGTTTATCTGCAGATAAGAAAATATCAGCTTAGAATTTTGCGGCGACTCGATAAATTCGTTCAGTATTATTCCCAAGAAAACATATTCGACCGGAACTCAGGGTCGATTCTTCGATAGAAATTACGATAGAAACGCCACGTCGATTTTACGAACGATTTTCATAAACTTCGCTCAAGGTGTTCAACAGTTCTCCGTAGAAACTCACCTTTTCTAGATTTTATCCTGTAAATGATCGTCTGAGGTGGCTGTTCCGGCACAGCGGTCACGTGAACAACTGCAGGGCTAGTCTGATGGGACAGATCGGCGTGCGGCTGATAGTAGGCGCTCGAGAAATTGGGATGATGGAAACCGGGGGGCGGTGGCGGCGAGGGTGGCAACGGGATAAAACTCGGGGGCTGCGGATTGAAGTGAACCGAGGGTTTCGTCTCGGGATGGCTGACAGTTTCGTCGTACGTCGGCAGCCCAGCCCTGTTAACGCCGTCTTGGAACGCCATGAATGATGCGGCTGCTGTCCGTCAAACTCGCTCGGAAACGAAACAACAACGATCCAGACGGCTCGGCGCGACTGAACTCTTGACGTTTGTACAGTACTATGACACCGTCCACTTGTGGCAGGGAACAGATCCTTGCGAATTGCACGTCCGACGTGGACTACGAACGATAAGCGAATGATACCGTAAAGAGACCCGTGAAGTTTAATACTTGCGGCTTATCGGTGTATCTGAAATTCCTTCCTTGGTAATCTCCTTATCGATACTGGCCGCGAGTATCAGTGGGGAAATGCGGCTGGATTATTTTATCCTGCGGTCTCGAATAAATTATGTGCTTTTATCGAATTCTTATGAATCACGATGTACCTTGAACGAGGGAGGCTGAAGTGTAGCTCTGAATCTTCGATCGTGAACGTTTCCGCGAATTTCGGTCGCTTATTTGTTGATGACATTTATTTCTGTTTTAGAGAATTTCGCTATATTCGCGGGGAAATGTACACTTTGTGCGTGATTTAATTTTGTATTTCACCGTGATCCGCAATACGCAATGAATGCATAAACATCGGAAAGCTAGCGTCGAGTGAACAGTATCACTCCAGTCATCTGTTTTTTATCGATGGCAGTTACGCTTCTTGATTCTAATGATCGTGTCAGCCACGGATTCGTTATTCTACCGACACGCTTAGCTTTTAATACGCTCGGAAGTTAGGGCGAGTCAGGTTCGTCGATTCAAGTGCATCGGTTGTTCAACTTAATCCTCGTGCAACGTGACACGTTCACGGTCTGGATCAGACAGATGCATTCAAATTCTGCAAGTGAATCCTCAGCGTTTTCTTGGAAACTCCGAGCTCGAGGAATCGATTGCTATGATTTACAGCGTATCGACGAATTCGACTTCGGAGTATGTTATCGGTGGCCCGCTGCTTAACATTTTAGCGTTGATGGGTCATTAGCATAGTATAGCGTAACATTAATTGCGTCTGAATTGCATCTCTTAACCGCTGAATTAACACTTTGCCGTATAATAACGACAGTAATGGCGAAGGTTTCTAATTAACCTAATAAAAATCAATACCATTCTACTACAATACTACGAGTCACAACTAACAAACACACTAGCGAAGAAAATTGCACGACAAGGTATGAATCTGTGCAAATTTTCCCATGCCTTTGATTTTCTGTTTTACGTATTTTATTTGATGGAAATAAAATACGTAGTTCCAGGGGAAAAAATTCGTTCCCATCAAATACACGGCTTAACATTGCGCAATTGTTTGAATCGCGAAAATACTGTATTTCGATATTAAAGACACGTGACGAGTTTAAGTCGCCGCATGTACTCAAGAGTTAATTCATTCAAAGTGCTTATCCGTTTCCGGAGATAATAATCGTATTAATATGTGCATGCATGTGCGTGTGCATATACGTAGAACACAGTCAGTCATTCTCAAATCAATCGATTTTCGTCACGGTATCCACATCGGATCGATAACAGCGGGCTTAAGATCACTTTTCATTATCACCGACCGCTCGCTCGTATTTTCATCTCCGCGTTGTATATACCGGGTGGAACAATTATTTCCGCCACTTAGATTTCTTAGTGTATTTGTAGAAAATTCACGAAGTTCTGAACATTTATTTACAACACGTGTATAATAATCGAACCTGCTGGATCTCTTGGTATCGTATAACTTACACGAATAAAAAGTATATTATAATAATAACAATAATATTAATAATATCAAAAAAGTTTCTTCTAAGTCTAAAAATAACGAAGATTTCATTCCGCACGATAAACGATAGCAGCGCACAGCGCGCAACCCTCGAAAACGAACGCATCCCAGCGGCACGAATAAAATATATATTATCGAAAACGGTTGATTCGATTTCACGCTTTTACCATTTCATTGCGCCCGTTAATTATTTATTTAACGTTCGCCGTACAAATCGCGGGGCAAACAGCGAAACAGTGATCCCTGGTGATCACGGAATCACTTCCGCGCTCGAGGATTCATTAATTATATTCGTTAGCTCGCGTGGAACGCGATGCACGCTGAAAAGCAGACAAAAAAAAGAACCGCCCGCGGAATCCGGGTTGCGGTGAGCCGGGTTAAAGGTCAGGAATCGTTTCTTTTTCTTCGCGAGCTTCGTCGACCATCTTTCTCACCCTCTTAACACATTGTCGGCGCTGCGTGTATATTCGAAGAAATATAACCCCTTTACTTTTTAAGTGGAATACTAATTGTCAAATAATTTCAATCGTCAAATAACAATTGTCAAATAATTTTACATTTCCGGTTGCTCGTTTCGGTGAAATAAATTCTTTGCGCGACGGATTCCTCAGAATAAATATACATCGCTTTCGTATTAAAATAGTAATCATGTTTTCGATGATCGTGATTTATTGTAGTTTAACGTCTCGCGTGGTAATGGATTATACAAAATTGAACGTCGAATATCCGATTTGACAATCCTGCCGCGTGGATTCAAATGGCGGCTGAAAATCGCCTCCCGAGCGCGAAGGGTTGAAAGACGCCAATTAGCGTCTCCCGTCAACAATGCGTTAAATAATTGTCGGAGGACGTTCGCGCGAAACAGTGCTCGAGTTTACGGTCAGTCGCGTCGGCTCGCGAGCGTAACCGATAGCCGGACGCGCGACGCGCGTGATACGTTAATCAATCGCGACCGAGGCCGTCCGATACAATATAAATTTCGATCCCGGGATTCTTGGTCCGGCGCGCGCAGACACGCGGCGCGGCGGCCGTTTCCTGTAAACATTACGTTACCGTATTTACATTTCATATTTTCCGCTCGCAAGTGCAATAAATCATCGAGTTTGTCTTCGAGCGGGCGCGCTCTTCCAACGGGAAGCGGCGCGCACGCGTTGTTTTTCGGAGCAATAACAATGATGCGACGGGGGAACAATGAAATATCCGTGCTTGGAAATCCTGCGAACCGTTCGCGGCACGGCGGTCGGCTGCTGATCCATTAATAATCGATATAATTGCACGGCTGATAAATCATTAAGGCGTTGGATCCCCCCGATTCGCACAGATACGAAATTATGAAACTTATCGCGTAATATCCATTTACGCGGATTTCCTTTTATTCAACTCATGCTCGGCGCCAATGGATCGATGAACCTCATCCCTAGATATCCGTGCAGAAAATACGTATTGCGTGATTAATGTTCATTGTACGCAGAATGTCTTCCTCTCTCCCTTTACGAACTTTCATCGAAGATCGAGTATTAATGCAAAACGCACATATGAATACAGAATTCAGTATATTAGTACGAAAACCTCGTAATTATCTCCAAAATCAGATGCTTAATAACATATTTGAGAATCATGAAAATCGAAGCACTGTCACGATTCGTCGTCCCACGCGATTGATAAAATGGCGTGGCAATAATCTTACGTCATTTGTCGAACCGCAGAGCCAACGTTACAATGGTCGCTGCGTGATCTCAACATTCGGGACAAGAATAACATATATATATTCTTTATTTATATATGTTACGTAACATGAAATTTTCTCTGCGTACGTAAACTCTCCAGCGTCACCGTCGTCGTTCGCGTGCATAAGCCCCAATAAGGCTGACGGAATGATTCCCGTTCGACTTCTACCGTGCAATACAGGAAGCTTTACATTTTTGATTAACCGCCCGTTAATGTTACGACATTACTAATGCAAGAGGTACAAATGCCAATGCGTTTAATATTTAAGCGACGGTAAAAGTGTGCGCCCGCTAATAATCGGGCGGAGCGCGTTGGTTATTAATGCGACTGACGCTTCAATCGGGGAGATCCGAAAAACAAAGGGTCAGTAAATAAAAGCGATAATGTTCTTTCAATTCGGGGTATATTATTTATCCCGGCGAATGATTCACCGAATCGCCGACCGTCGAACCGCCGATGCTTATCGGCGCACCGTACGATAACGCGGCCGCGATCGCGCGCCGGAAACGATTCCATCGAATCGGGCCGATTTCGCGAATCGGCGACAAATTCGAACAATCCCGGGAAACGGGGCCGCTCCGCGCGAACGAAAACAATACGAGGATTCTAAATGACTTCGCATCCGCGGTGCACGGCGTTATCTGCGCGCCGATCTTTTCGCGGTTTCGACGAAACGCGACCCGATTTCGAAATTCCCTCTCTTTCGTCCGATTGAAAATCACTCGCGTTCCGCGTGGAATTGTTTAATTCGACGCGGTAAAATCGAAGATCCTCGGACGTTAGACCACGGACGGAGGCGTGCGCGAAGGAACCGTGGAACGCGAAGAACACGGAAACAACGACTTTAACGGACTATTTACGAAGCGTGGCATACATCATTGTAGAATGCACCGTTGGCTCGCGAGTGGCTGTTAAATGTACCGGTACAAATTGAAGATCAATACTATTGTACCTTGTCCTCGTTCGGGTATCCGCGTTAACCGGCATTAAGCTCGATGCTCGCTTAAACATGGCGCCCGATATTACCGTCTTTGACCATCGATTAATTTCGATGGTATCTTTCATTGCACATTATACCCCGTTCCTTTTGATCGACCGAACATTCCTGACTCCGTTATTACAGTACGCGATCTACGTCGACGGTTTCGTGTTCGCATAATAATCAATCTCTCGCGAATGAGAATTTTTCAAACCTCTTTCCCCGTAAAATTCCGGATCACGCGTCGAAGCTTGAAATATTAGAATAATAGAAAACAACAAGTTAATCTTTCTTTATTGGAATAGCCGAATTACTTGTTTATAGTTTTCGATTCGAAATATTCATGCTCGGAGCCGCCATTACGCCGCGATCCGACAGCGATCGGTTGATATACGTGTTTTCAATCTTACGATCCACGCGCGGCCGATTTTCTGCGAATTGCTTCCTACAAGTTATTTAAAAATCATCGGGGAAAATATTCCGCAGTGCTTCCAAGGGGTTGAAGCTCGTGACACGAACGAGAGCTGAAAGTTCACCGGGTCAGAGGCTCGCGGAAAATCTGCTTGCCAATACGTGGAGCGGGAATATCGACAATTTTTCGAACCGCTCGACCGTGCCAGCGCGGAGGGATCGATCACGCGGAAACGTCGGGCGAAGGATCGCGCGAAAGAATCCGGGTCCGCGATATCGTCCGCCGGCGGGGGTGGTTTGACGTGGAGAGCTGCACGTTGCCCGGGAACCGCCGTCGAT